AAGTATATTGTATGAATATAGTGCTTCTTAGCATAATATGAATACTCCCATATGTTATGCTGACATTTCATATGGGCACCACATTGAGACCTGGCTCTCCACTTTTGATCTTACTTTCTACCAATGCACCTGAGGGGACTGGTGCTGTTGCTCAACAGGCTAATCTTCCACCCTCAAACATCAGCATCATATATGGTTCATGTTCGAGTTGTTCTACTTCCCTTCCAGCTCCCTGCTTGTGGCCTGGGAAAGTAGTGGAAGACGGCCCCAAGCCTTGGGATGCTGTACCCACATGGGAGACCAGGAAGAAGCTCTTGGCTCCTGACTCCTGGGTTTCGTCTGGCCCAATCTTGGCCATTCCAGACTTTTGGGGGAGGAACCAACAGATGGAGAATCTGTCTCTCCCTTTTTTTCTGTGTGACTCTGCCTTTAAAATAAAATTAATCTTTGTTTTATAAAGGTTTGTTTATTTTTATTGGAAGGGCAGATTTACAGAGAGGAGAAAGATTTACACCTGTTGGTTCACTCCCCAAGTACCCACAATGGCCAGAGCTGAGCCAATCTGAAGCCATGACCAGCCTTGCAGGTACAGGGTCCTTAGACATTGTACCATCTTCCACTGCTTTCCCAGGCCACAAGCAGGGAGTTTGATAGGAAGTGGAGCAACTAGGATGTGAACTGGTGCTAATGCAGGATCCCTGTACTTGCAAGATAAGGATTTAGTCCCTGAGCTATCTGCTGGGCTCAAATAAAATAATTCTTAAAAATATATTTTAAAAAGTAAATAATAGGCCTGTTTAAACATGTTATTTCCACTAAGATCAACCTATAGGTAGTTTAAAGAAAACAGGCAACAAACTATGTTCGCTAAGGTGCTTAAAATAGCTGAGTTAACATTGACAGTTTCCTCATTCCATCATGGCTGAGCTCTAAACACAGCTGCCTAAATTGACTCCCTTCCTCTCCCAGCTTTGTTTGAAAATTGACTGCTAGTCATTGACAATACAGTTGTGTGTAAGTCACCATTCCAGTCCGGTTAGCTTTGCATGGTTGGGGCTGTGCCTTCCTCTTCCAGAAACCTTTGTTTGCTCAAGAGAGGGAGGAAAATGCTGATTACCCTGTTTTAGTATAGGCTTAAAATACATGTGGTAGTTAGGACCACAAAGGGCCCACTGTACAAATAGGGAAGAAAAATGTTTGCACCCTCTTTGGCGCATAATTGTGCTGTGGTCTTTTGCTACATTTAAAGAAAGGTTTACCTGCAAGGAAGTAGGTCTGTGAGGAGCAGGCAGACAGAGACAGGCACTTGACTTTCTGTTTTTTTTTTTTTTTTTTTTTAAGATTTTTTTTTTTTTTAATTTTTATTGGAAAGGCAGATATACGGAGAGGAGAGACAGAGAGGAAGATCTTCTGTCTGATGATTCACTCTCCAAGTGAGCGCAACAGCCAATGCTATGCCGATCCGAAGCCAGGAGCCTCTTCTGGGTCTCCCACGCAGGTGCAGGGTCCCAAGGCTTTGGGCCGTCCTCAACTGCTTTCCCGGGCCACAGTCAGGGAGCTGGATGGGAAGCGGGGCTGCCGGGATTAGAACCGGCGCCCATATGGGATCCCGGGCATGCAAGGCAAGGACCTTAACCACTGCACCATCGTGCCGGACCTGACTTTCCGTTGTTAAATCAAGGGTTTCTCTAATTAAACATTGTTGAAATGGCAATAATTTAGTTATAGTTCCAGAAACCATAGAGCATTGCTAATTCCTGTTTTGGAGATAAGGAATATTAATAAGATGAAAAACTCATTTGTTTATGTCTGACACCAGTTGGTTCATTGCAGAATTGTCCTATTTGTCTTTTTTTTTTTTTTTTTAAGATTTATTTTATTTTTATTGGAAAGGCGGATATACAGAGAGGAGAGACAGAGAGGAAGATCTTCCATCCAGTGATTCACTCCCCAAGTGAGCACAACGGCCGATACTATGCCGATCCGAAGCCAGGAGCCTTTTCAGGGTCTCCCACACCAGTACAGGGTCCCAAAGCTTTGGGCTGTCCTCGACTGCTTTCCCAGGCCACAGTCAGGGAGCTAGATGGGAAGTGGAGCCGCCGGGATTAGAACCGGCGCCCATATGGGATCCCAGGCGTGCAAGGCGAGGACCTTAACCACTGCGCCATCGTGCCGGGCCCAGAATTGTCCTATTTGTTGGCATTTTAAGTTAGAGATAAGTCAGAGGACCACAATATTTGGGATAAAAATACCCTACAATATTGGGATAACAATAAAAGTAAAGAAACAGAGGAGGCGGAGTGAGGAAAGAATTCCAAATGGTGAAAACAGGACTGTATGGTGAGTCTTTATTGAGAGGTAAGGTGGCTGATCTTATCTCTCAGGTCTCTCATAGATTCTCCTTGTGTGGAAACAACCATTTTCACAATCCTGCCTTCATAGTGGTGCCTGGTAATGTGATGTGTATATAATCATCTAATCAAAAAAAAGACACTTCTAAGAGGTAGTCACTTGGGACATCTTATTAGAGTATCTGGGTGCCAGTCCTGGATCCACACCTGATTCCAGCTCCCACTAATGCACATGCTGGGAGGGTTGTGTTAGTGGGTGTAGAGTTGCTCGAGGAATTGTGTTCATGCCCATCACATGGCTGACTGATTGAGTTTTGGGCTTCTTGCTTTGGCTTGGCCCAGCCTCAACTGTTGCAGGCATTAGGGAGTGAGTGCGTGGATGAGAGATCTCTCTTTCTCTCTGCCTCTCAAAAAAGAAGTAAATAAAGCTCTTCCCAGGGCAGATCTTTAATCTAGTGGGGAAACCAGTGCTTGAGAGGCCTATGTGCCCTATCAGAATGCCTGGTTCAATACCCACTTCTTGTTGCTATTTCCAGCTTCCTGCTAACGCACAACAGTGATTCCTTAAGCTGTTGGGTTCCTCCTGTGTGAAAGACCTAACTTGAGTTCCAGACTTTTGGCTTTGGCTGTTGTGGGCATTTGGGGAGTGAACCAGTGAACCTGCCTGTTCTTTTTCTATCTCTCACATAAATAACTGTTAAAAAAAATATTTTTAAAATTTGTTTGTTTAAAAGGTAAGCTGGTCACAGATACGCATGGGTCATTTTTAGCGATGGATGGGGTGAGAAAGTGGGAGAAAGAAATGTTTCTTCCCGCTAACCTGTGCCTGTGGGAAGGGAAGGAGCATCCCTCCATGTTGTCAGCCTTTAGATGAGCCTGAGAAGGGGAATGGTTTCATGATACTACATGCAGGACCCCACTGAGGGGGAATTATGTCCTTGAGGAGGGGCCATTTGAATGATAGATAGGCAAGTGGGATTTACATAGGCATGGGAAGTGTGTTTTCAAACTCATGACCCTTAACCTACTTCCAGCCTATCCTATTTCATTTCTATCTCAGAAATTTCTGATCTTTAATTTAACGGTTGAGCCTGCTGCAGTAGTCTACTGGAAAAAATCCTCACTATGCATGTACCATGATCCCATATGGGTATCAGTTTGTATCTCGGCTGCTCCACTTCCCTTCCAGTTCTCTGCCTGTGACTTGGGGAAGCAGTCAGGGCAGCTCAAAGCCTTGGGATCATGCAGCCATGTGGGAGACCCGCAAGAAGCTCTGCCTGACTGTTGGCTTCAGATCGGCTCAGTTCTGGCTGTTGGGCCACTTAGGGAGTGAATCAGCAAGTGGAAGATCTTTTTTCTCTGTATCGTCTTCTCTCTGTAAATCTGACTTTCCAATAAAAATAAAGAAATACATAAAAATTTAAGGGTTGCTGAAGGATAGAAACTCATCACTCTGTGGTTGCTTCATGGTGATTAGGGGTGTAGAGCTTGCCTATCCCAGACTTGAAACTGTCTCATCTAATAAATCCATCTCACTGAATTTCCACTCAGTGGCAGTAGCTATGATATCTTTACTATGAGATGTTGTTGGTGTGTTTGCATAGGAGTCAGCTACATGGATGGCCTGATCATGTAATGTGTACACTGAGTCCAAGACAAGCCCAGCACCACCAGGTTCTGCACCCTGAAATTAGAGCTCCTCACACATCTGAGGCCTACATGAGCTGAAACCATGGGCCACTTGATGACACGAAAACCACGAGTGCAGTGCTCCCCAGCTCCCTGCCATGGATGCTGTGGCCCAGTCCAGGGAACCCTGGCAAACTGGCTCTTTATACCTCGAGTTTCAGCTGTAGTGCTTGTTGAGGGTGCAGTGGCTTGGCTGGGGGTGACCCATGGTGCTGGCTTTCTGGGTTCCCTGGTCCAAGTTGTTGTTGTTGTTGTTGTATTTTTTTTAAACATTCTGCGAGCATGGCACTTTTTAAATTTTGTATGTTTGTTTCCTAGTCAGCGTCAACCAGCATCCACCAGCATGCCTATGCCTTGGTAGCTGCTGGATACAGCTGGGAGCTTAATAATTTCCACACTTTCTCTGTTGCTTTAAAGATCAGCCTAAGCTTATATTACTAAATTTTCTGGCTGCTCTTTGTATCTTGTAATACCTGTGCTCTTCAGTCACATTAATCTTCATTTATTGTCATTACTTCATGGCATTGATTAAAATTATTTCTCATACTTGTGTTTCATATAAAGATTTATTTATGAATTTGTGCTTCATGTTTCATTTGAAAGCAAAAACATTAAGAGGTAGACAGGTGGAGAGCGGTGGAAAGACCCTACCTGCCTAGCCCTAATCCAGTGATGCCACTCCAGAGTAATTCTGTAGCTGTACTGACATTTCATTCATTAAGCACCTTTAATTTGAATTCTTTTGTGTCCTTGCTGAAATTGTACCATCTTAGCTAATAATATTGTTGGTTTGCTTCATTTGCTTCAAAATAAAAAATTTCGTAACATAAAAATTAGGTGTCTGGTAGCACAGTTGCTGAATGTGTGAAATAATTGAGGTATGAAAAATATGAACTGTATCTAAGTGTTGGAGGGGCCTCAGAATTCCGCAGCAGTTCCTCATGCTCATTTCCCTTCTAGGTGCGTGCTATTATGATGCTAACCAGTCCATGTACGTGTTTGGAGGCTGCACGCAGAGCAGCTGCAATGCTGCCTTCAACGACCTCTGGAGACTTGACCTAAATAGCAAAGAGTGGATCCGACCTTTGGCTTCAGGTAGGAGACGAGATGCTGTTCTTTGTCGTCTTACCAGGTCATTCCCTTGGCACGGAAGCCGCCTGATTCATTTTAGCATTGGTCTCCAGGGTAAGTTGCTGGAGCCTTAAATCCTGGGTAAATGCTAAGAATAATATGCTTGTCTTAATTCTTTGAATTTTTTTTTTAAATTATGGTTTATCATTAGTATTGTTGCACTGCCAAAATTGCTGTGCTGCTGGGTGAATTCATGTGTATGACTTTCCCAAGTCCTTTTACAGGGTGATGTGCTGTTTAGTGTGAGGCCGCAGCAAGAACAGAGTGCTGAGGACTGTGGTTGACTAGCAGAGGCTCTTGTCCCAGGACTGAAGTCCTGAGAGTCTTGTTGTTGCCACTTCAGATACTTGGGGAGTGTATGGGACAGGCCTCTGCTCGTTACTCTGATGAGCTCAGGGCTATGGGAAGAATCCCTAGTAGGCGTGTTAATGTGCTGAGCTAGAATCCTGGAAAAAAAGAAACTAGATTTTCTTCTATCTGACCCAGCTTTTCCTGGGTGGGGCGGAATTAAAAATCTAAATATTTCTGTGTTTATGAGATAGGACAGTCTGAAGAGGCACGGTTTTAAGATTGAAAGGGCTGGTGTGATGAAGGGGAGCCTACTGAGTATTAAAGATTGTTTTCAATTCGTAGGCAGCTTTTCCCAAAGTATTCCTCATGCGGTTTTTCAGGCTGAAGGAGACTGAGTTTTCCTTGGACAGGCTCCTTATTAAGTCCTTGCCTCACTTTGATCACTAGATGACCTTTTAGAAAGGGTACTCCTTGGGGTTTTCTGTTTCCTGTCACAGCCGCCAGTTCTCTGTGTAACTGTGAACAAGTTACTGTGCCTCCCTGGGAGACACATGCAGTGGGGCTACTCACTTCTGTTTTGCAGTGGGCTTAGAAAGCTAGTTTTTGTTTCTTTTGTTACACAGTCATTGCTGAGCTGTGTAGGCCAGGGGCTTAAATCTGCTGGCAAGAAGAAGCTGCATTCAGCTCCCCCAAAGCTGCAAGCCCCTCTTCTTTTCCTGCAATAGATAAAAGCAGGAGGAACATTCTGATAGCGGGAACTCACGGGAGTAGCTGGGTTTTATCTAGACCCAGTTTTCTTTATTTAAAGTATTGCAAAGGTGAAGAAATGGTACTTAAAAAAAAAGTGGAAGATTAGTAATATTTGGGAGCTTTAAGGGTTTCTTTTTTTTTTTTAATTTCCTTCCTTCTTTCCTTCCTTCCTTCCTTCCTTCCCCTTTCCTTTTATAAAAAAGTTGTACTGTCTTATTACATAGGATTACTGAGATAGATCTTCCATCTGTTGATTTACTCCCTGGGTGATTTCAGTGTCAGGGCTGAACCAGGGCAAAACCAGGAGCCGGGGCTTCATCTGGGTCTCCTACAAGAATTTTGGGTCGGGCCCGGTGCGGTGGCGCAAGTGGTTAAGGTCCTCGCCTTGCACGCCCGGGATCCCATATGGGCGCCAGTTCTATCCCGGCAGCCCTGCTTCCCATCCAGCTCCTTGACTGTGGCCCGGGAAAGCAGTTGAGGACGGCCCAAAGCTTTGGGAACCTGCATCCACGTGGGAGACCCGGAAGAGGCTCCTGGCTTCGGATTGGCATTAGCATCGGCCGTTGCGCTCACTTAGGGAGTGAATCATTGGACGGAAGATCTTCCTCTCTGTCTCTCCTCTCTGTATATCCGCCTTTCCAATAAAAAAATAATAATAAAAATAAATCTTAAAAACAAAAGAATTTTGGGTCACCTTCCACTCTTCTAGGCCAGTAACTGGGAGTGAAATTGAAGTGGGCAGCCAAGACATAAACTGGCACCTGTATTGGATGTCAACATTGCAGGCTTGACTTCCCTAGCCCCTTTTTCAATTAAGCACATAGATTTTTTTTTTTAATTTGTTTTCAGATTTTCTTCCCCCCCTCCCTTTTTTTTTTTAAGATTTATTTTTTATTGGAAAGGCAGATTTACAGAGAGAAAGATCCTTCATCTGCTGGTTTACTCCCGCAAGTGGCCGCAATAGTTGGAGCTGAACCCATCTGAAGCCAGGAGCCAGGAGCTTCTTCCAGGTCTCCCAGCCAGCTGCAGGGTCCCAAAGCTTTGGGAGTGTGCTTCACTGCTTTCCCAAGCCATCAGCAGGGAGCTGGATGGGAAATAGAGTAACTGGGACATGCACCAAGTCCCTTATGGGATCCTGCAGTTGTAAGGTAGAGGATTAGCCAGTCAAGCCATTGGGCAAGCTCAGTTGCACCTTACGTTCTGACACAGGTCCCAGGGAGTCTAGTTGCTGTCTTGCACTAGTCTACAATTAGAGCTCAGTTTCAGGGCGAGGAGAAGCTGAGCTTTTTAAAATGTCTTCTTAAAAAAAAAAAAAAAAGCAGTGAAAGCAGTGATTCAACAGAGTCCCGTGAGATCCTCATTGAGGCCGGAATCCCACGGGAGGCTGCCGGAGGAAATGTTTCTGTATGCTTGCGTGAGTCCCAACCAAAATCACCTCCTCACTGAAGCAACAGTGAGTCTTTCTGAACAAAACACAGTTGTTTATGTATCTTCGTGTGCCTGACTCACCCACTTGTGGATAGAGGTAGGTGGGGTGGAGGGTGTCTAAAGGGAGAATGCTACCCATCTCCTTTTGGTGCCAGTTACAGGATGTTAAGTTGCACACAAGAGAGGAGCTGTCTCATTTTCGTTGGTGTCTTATCTCAGGCTGCCATCACCAAGTAGCACAGACTGAGCGGCTTAAACAACAGAAAGAATATTTCTCGCAGTTCTGGAGGCCAGAAGTCTGAGATCAGGCTCTTGGGGTGGTCAGGTTCTGGTGAGATGTCTCTTCCTGGGCTATAGACTGCAAAGGGAGAGAGGTGGTGCGCATGTGAGGATCACAGGGCCCAGCTGCCAGAACCCTACAGTTAGTACTCCTGCAGCTAGTGCTTCCCAGGCACATCCGGAAGGTGGCTCCTGCCTTTTATAGCTCCTCCTGTGGTTCCCTTCTTCACGGGGCTTATATTGTCCTAGGAAAGAAGAAAATAAGCAAAGTGCTAGAAATTATGGAAGAAGACTTTAAGAGTGAGCTACTTCAAACAACAACAAAAAAATTTTAAACCTAAGGGGATGAAAACTGCATATGCTACTGTCACAGCCAAGAACAGGACCCGTTAGAGGAGATGAAAGCAGGTCACTGCAGATGAGCCATAACGAGCATGGAGAGAGGCACTAGGGAGCTGAAATGTCAACAGAGAGCCAGTTCACTGACGGGCCCGAGGATTTAGAAACTGGAGGTGGAGGGTTTAGGGGAGGAAGATAGTAGTCGAACTTACAGTTTAAAGAACATGTTGGCTGCTGTTTAGAAAATTATCTGAAGAAAACAAGAAATAAAGCAGAGGGAATAGATAGGTTATCAAAAACTAATAATTAAGTGCAGCTGAAGTTGTGATGGCTGGGCGAGGCTGAAGCAGGGAACCTGGAATCTTATTTAGTTTTCTGCCACATGGGTGCAGGGGCCCGCGGACTTGGGTCATCTCCCGCTGCTTTCTTAGGCACGTTAGCTGCGAGCTGGATCAGAAGTGGAACAGCTAGGATTCAAACGTACGTCCATATGGGATGGCGGCTGTTTAAACTGCTACATTTCATTGTTGGACCTTGGACATTTATTGATATAGAGGAACAAGGTGGAATATATGATTATAGGTGTTGGCAAGTGGGGACTCTTGGCACTTCTTTCCTGGTGGCTTTATCACTCAGATAAAATAATTGAGGAGAAACAGAAGTTGTTGGAAATCCTGGCCTGTGACCGTGAATGCATAATTGGGTGCATTGTAGTCCTTGCCAAGTGGTTCCAGGAAATTAAATGTGTTACCTTCTAACACCTTTTCATTTTTTGAATCAAATTTGTTTGTTCCCAAAGCAAATGTGCAGTTCTTTGAATAGATTCCTTCAAAGACTGATGTTTAAACCACTGTTTCTGAAATAAATTACCTCTGATTCAAACTGAGACTAATTTTGGCATCTGTTTAATATATGAACATCATCAGGGACCACATTTTTTTGTCACTTTAAATTAAGAGAGAAGTTTTCAAGTAAAAAATAATTTTTATTTGAAAGGCAAATTTACAGAGAGAAGGAGATATAAATAGAAAGATCCTCTGTCTGCTGGTTCACTCCCCAGGTGGCGGCAACAGCCAGAGCGCTGATCCGAATCCCAGAGCCCAGAACCTCTTCCGAATCTTCTACATGGGTGCAGGGTCCTAAGGCTTTGGGCCATCCTCTGCTGCTTTCCCAGGCTACAGGCTGAGAGCTAGATGTGAAGTGGAGCAGCTAGGATTAGAACCAGCACCCATATGAGATCCTGGTGTGTGCAAGGCAAGGACTTCAGCAACTAGGCCACCGTATTGGACCCTCAAGTAAAAATTTTAACATTTAAAATTGAAATGCTTGATTTTCACAACTTCTATAAGACTAGCCCACTTTCACTTACAAGGAGGGAACAAATGTGAATGTGTAGAACAAAGTTTCTAACATAAAAGTCTGTTAAGTGTTAGGTCAAAATTTGGAGCTTAGAGGGCAGCAGTGTAGCTTAGGGGGTTAACCCACCACTTGCATCTCATTTCAGAGCACTAGTTTGAGTCTCAGGTGCTCTGCTTTTAATCCAAGTTCCTGTTAATATGCCTGGGAAGGTAGTGGAAGATGACCCAAGTAGTTGGTCTCCTGCCACCGTTCGGAACCAGGATAGAGTTCCTGGTTCTTGGCCTCGGCCTGGCCCAGGCCTATGTATTGGAGTGGCTGTATACATTTCACCCTTAGGATCTTCTTTCTCATGGGTTTTGTCTTCCTGGTTTCTTCCCTGTTCGTCACAAACAAAATCCCAAGTGATATCTTTTATTATTATTTTTTAATTGGACAGGCAGATATACAGAGAGGAGGAGAAAAAGAGAGGGAGATCTTCCACACGATGATTCACTCCCGAAGCGGCCACAACGGCAGGA